GCGGGGAGGCGCGCGCGGGCGGGGCTGCCGCGGGGACCCGGGCGCTGTCCCCGGTGCTGAGGGCTCCCGGGATGTCGCGGGGCCCAGCGACCCTTTTTGGGAGGACTCCCTCCGCGATCCCCCTCCCCGGCGTCCCTGGCGATCGGTTTGCACGGTGCTAGGATCTGCTACGTGTGATCGATGCCACCCGGGTGAGCCCTGGCCGCGCTGCTTCTGGGCCAACAGCACTGCCTGGAAGGTTGGTCCCAGGGTGAAATTCAGCGTCCCAAGGCACAGCACACCTTACACGCTTAATACACACCCCCTTGCTATCGTCCATTTCCTTGCTCTGGAGAGGAGGCAGGGCTGGTGGCATAGGCTGCTCTCGGATCCCTGAGACGTCTGCAGGACGCCTCGTCTCCCTCACCCCAAGTGCAGGTGGGGCCGCCGGCCAGAAGTGAAAGTGAGGCAGACCTGACTGCTTGTGCGGGAGAACTTCCCGGCCCTTCCACCCGAAGGGCTCTCCGAGGCAGGCTGGCCCCCGCAGGCGCTCAGGGGGAGGCTGTGCCCCCGAGGCCCCGAGCTTCCAGAAGCCTGGGTGAAAGGCTTGTGCATGGTGGTGGGGACAGGTCAGGAGCCCAGGACCGTGCCTGACAGGTGGGAAAGTCTGCATTTCCTCTCACCAGGTTCTGTGTGAGAAGCTGCATCCTGGCAGGAAAAAGCTGGCCTCACCTCTGATCTGCGGAGGAGGACACTGGGAACTCCCAGAGCTGCTTCCCTTTGCTCGGGCTGGTCGCATAAGAGGATAAGCAACTCAACCCGAGTCTTGGGACAGCAGAGTGGGAACCTGCAGCACACACCTGCACACACCCAGACGCACAGCTGCAGAGTCCAGCCTGCCGCATCCCCGTGGCTCCCCAGGCAAGGGTCCCTGCTGAATTTCTCAGAGCCGGTCAGGTCACTGGCCCAGAGAGCTGCCTATGACAAGCCAAGGAAGTCCCACATTCCTCTTAACTAATGAGAAGAGCCGGGTCCTCCCCCGCCAGCCTCTCAGCCCCTTCCGTGCAGGATAGTTAAACGTCACCTGCCTCATTTCCCAAGGGACCAGAGGCTGTGTTTGATTCATTAATTAACTGCGTGAAGTGCCTGCCTCCACCAGGCCCTCATCACACAATAAACATCACTCATTATGTGCTTAACACGAGGCTGAGCACGCTGAGCCGTGGCCCTCCTCATCTGCCGACCAAGTGCTGTTACCCTGACAGCAGGGGCCGGTGTCGGGGCCTGGCAGGGGACCTGAGCAGAGCCCTGTGAGCCCCCTTCCTGCAAGGTCTTCCACGCCCTCCACTGACCCTGTCTAGAATGAAGGACGTGAGCGCCCACAGATATCCCAGACAAGGACAGGGAGAAACAGAGCAAACCAGTCAGCCAGTCAGTGCCCTAGGAGTCAGCACAGAAGCCCTTTACGCCAACGTTTTCAGTCCCAATCCAGGCTCTTCTGTTCCAGGGTTGCTTGGATCCTTGGGATTTTGTGTGTCAAAAATGCCCAAAGCGACCTCAGCACCAAACCTGTTTGTACCACTTGCCCACATGCCCTGCCTCTGCCTCCCCTGGCCTCCCTGCCCACGATGGAGCTTCACAGCCTCAGGTCAGAGCCGTCTTCCCCGACCGGAAGCGCCGGCAGCAGCTCCAGGCGTTTCCATACCACAGCTCCCCGCTTATGCGGTACGGAGAGGTCTGCTCCAGATGCCAGCGGCAGCCCCACCGTCTTTCAGTGGAGCTGATTTTATTTAAACCAGGGCTGGTTCAAGTGACCATGTACAGCAGATGCCTTCTCTCCCTCACTTCAGAGATGGTAGCAGAGGTACAGTGACTTCCCCAAGATCACGCAGCCAGCAAAGGGTGACCTGCATGGCGCAGATGTCCTTTGGGCAAGGATGAAGGACACCAGGTGGTCCCCATCGAACTGATTCTTTGGGTACAAAAGCATGCCCTGATTTTAAGCAAAAACCCATCTCTATAAATAAATGGGGGGAGTGTAAGAAGAGGTGTTGGATCTGACTTCACATAAACAGCGTGCCATCGTGCTGCCCCAATCAGCAAGAGCTCCCAGCGCCTGTGGAGAAGGAGCCGGCTCCCGTGCGTCCTCCGGGCTGGCCAGCACGGCTCCTTACGTGATACCCGATCTTCAGTTGCATGGCAACTCCAGTTGGTGGCAGCTACTCCGCCTGGTCACCAGCGTCTCTCCATACATGGAGCGCATGCTGGTAGCTCTCCCGACAGATGGCTTCGTGGTTGAAAACTCCCCGACACATTGGAACATGGGCGGCACTCACACAGGCTGGCTTTTCACTCTAGGCAAAAGGGGCTTTCACAAGATCAGCCCGAGGCTGTACAGAACAGACCTTGTGCCAGCCCATCGGTGGCGGCAGCAGCAAGAGTCTTGGTCTTGGGACCGGAAGACGGCAAGCTCCCAGGGAAGTGCGGGGTCAAGTGTCCCTTTGATTGGGGCTGAGGGCATGTCACAGCTGCTGCTCCGGACTGGTGCCCGTCTTTGGAGACAGAGGGACAGCGTGCTGAAGGGCGACCCTGCCAGAAAGAGAAGCAATGCTTCTTTCTGGGCCTCCTCAGAAAGGGTGAGTTCACCATCCACAGTGTATCCAGGCAGAGCAAGCCTGGTGCCAGGACTGGCGGTGGGTGGGATGTCAGAGTGTGGCCTTGGTGGCCAGCTCAGCCCCCGTCCTGCCTCAGTGTGGGCTTTGGGACTCTGCCCTGAAGGGGCTCCGAGCACTTTAGTCCTTACAGAGTCACCACGCCGCAGGCCACCACTCAATCAGCCCTGGAGATCAAGGGCTTGCTTTCTTTTCCTGGCTCTGCCAGTGCAATGGGCCCAGGGACAGAACCACTGATGAGCCGAGCCTGTGCTACCCATCTCTAGTCAGCTCTCCAGCCCACGCCCAGGCAGAGGAAGTGGGTGTTTTTACACTGTATTGAGAGCTAGGCCAGGTGAGGTTGGGCAGGTAGCGGGGACACACATCCCAGAGTGACGGCTTTCAGAGTGGGTATCTTTGGGCATGACCAGGCAGTGCGTCCCTGTGTGCCGGAACAAGAGAGAAGGTCAGACACCAAGTGTGCGGGAAAGAGGCCTAAGGCACAGGGCGGGTGAGGGGCCGGGTCCTGGCCACGTCCCGTGCCCGGGGCAGCCTCAGGGGGCGGGGTGCATGGTCACCCTGGCTCACAGCTGCAGCCTGTCTGTCAGAAAGGCACTCACTGCTGGTGTCTAGTGAATGCCACCTCTAATGACACTGTGACAGCAAGCTTGATCCGTGCATTCTTCACGAGTCACTGCTGATGCATGAGGAGGAGACAAGTGAGTGGGGTGACAGCCGTGGATCATCCCAACAGACAGCCCGTCCCCGCGGGGAGGAGAGAACGGAGGCACAGAGGACACCGCGAGAGGGCTCCTTGTGGCCACCACGTCACCAGCACCCGCCAGCCCTGGCCATGAATTTCTTCCTCCTTTCTTTCGTCCTTCCTTCCCTCCCTCCCTTCCCATGTGCACACTGTGGGTGCGGAGACCAGGGCAAGCACCCCGTCACCTTGAACTCAGAGCCAGGTGAGGCTCCCAAGGATCCATGGAACGGGGTCTCCGGAGTTGGGAGGAACAGGATGAGTGGCAGGTGACATCCATCACCAAGCCTTCCTGGCAGCCGAGAGGCAAGCACTTGTCTTTCACAGCACCAGGTTTCAATGACACGCTCAGGGCCCGTGGAGGAAACACTGCTCACTCAGGTTGCCTGGTGGCTGGGACCCATTGGACCCTGGGGTCCACGCTGACCGTGTCCTGTGCCCGGGGCACTGCCCTCTGTCACACTGGACATGAGAAATGAAAATACGAGGCTGACTCTGGATTGTAACCCCAGATTACAGTGACCTCTGTGCCCTCGCTTCCTCCACCCCGTGCTTCCCAAAGTACAGGCTCATACCGACGTGGAGATCGTTCATTTTCATCCAGGACGAACACAGAACACCTCCCCCACACGCCGTGCCGGCCTGCAGCCAGGAGTCCACGGTCCTTCCCAGGCTGAGCCCCGGCACCATCTGTGGGCCGCTCTGCCGCCCAGGACCCACCCAGACACAGGGGCCCAGGTGCCGAGAATGGATAGGAGGACTTGTCCACTGCACCCCGTCAGACCCGATCACTGCCACCAGCCGGACGCCCAGCTGACGATGGACAAGGAGTGGAGGAGAGGACAGAGACAGAACCATGACACCGGGCGCGGGGAGTGGGGAGGAGCCAGGGCTGTCACCCGTCCCTGCTGTGCCCTGCACCAGCACCTACAGCCATCTGTTGGGTGAATGAATGGTGTCCACTGCCTAGGCCCTCGCCCGAGGCTGGCGGCATCAAAAGATGAGTCCCCTCTCTGCACAGCTGGTTCTAGATTCCAGCCACCCAGACGAGGGGTGGCAGCAGAGGAGCCCCCCTGTGCCAACCGCCTGCTCCAAGACCATCAGGGTCCCCTGCGGCTGGAGAGGAAATGGCCAGGTACTGAGTAATGGGCAGTGGATGCTGCCCCTGCACTGTGTGGGTCCCCAGAGAAGGGGTAGGGGGCCTGCCTGGGGACACCGGGACCCTCACAAAGGAGCCCCAGGGGGCTCCTTAGCCCTCCCCACTCCCGCCTGCCCTACACAGCTGTATCACCCAGGCTGCCCCACGCCTGAACCTCTGCGCTCCCCCACCTCCCGGGGCTGGGCTTGCTTTGCATTCTGGGCTTTTGCTCCTCTTTCCCTTGGCAACGCAGGGGCTCCCAGAGGAGGCTGGGGCGGGGCAGGCAGCAG